AAAAAAGAAATCTGAAAAAAATATACATAAAACTGCTTGAAGGACTGAAGGGAGGAAGAGACACTATGGATTGTTATATTTGACTTTTTCGATTGTGAGGATGTATTAGTCTAACAAATTTAAAATGATATTTTTGTTTTAGAAAAGTTAGACTCAATAGTACGCCTAATCATGGCCCATTTAACTTTATATCAAATGTACAGAAAAGACCATCTACTAAGAATCATCAGGAAAAAAGTATTTCTCAATTATATAGATCAGTGCAAATTAAATCATCTCTCATTTCCATTTTTCCTCCAAATCCTCATCCTCGTCATATGTGTCACATGCAGCCTCCCACAGGCGCCTCAAGGATAAAGGTCATACCACGTATATTGCCCTGAACACTGTGAACATTGATTAAATACATTTTTCAAGAGAAACAATGTGAAACAGCACACTCCAGGCTTCTTGGATCCGTCTTCAGGTCAGTGAAATATACCGGTCAACTCAGAGTGCTCAGCGAGGTTAGGAATGTCTAATTAATCTTTTCATTATCTTCCAAATTTATGGGCAGTTGTTTTCCAGAACTCACTATGTGGAATCTCAACTTTAGAGACACAACGTACTCACCAGACAGTGCACAACACACTCTGTTCTTAAAACCACATAGCTGCTTATCTTACGGCTATGCTTGGCTCAAAAGACAAGTGAGACGTGTCTGAGAAGTCTGAAAATGAGAACATCAGTGGCCATCTAACCAGGACCCAGATGACTGAAACTCATTAAGCTGCACCACCGCACTTCCTCCAAACCCTGCTCAAGTGGCCTCAGCCATTGCCCACAAGGGTTGGAAGCAGAAGTCATATTTCTTAGATGAGCAAGATGTGAAAAGCCCACAGAAGCAGAAAACGCTCCTGACTCTTCAAGCATGCCGTGCCTCATTTCTGCACTATCAACTACTTTGCAGATATTTCTTCTAAGCAGATCGGGAAACCATTAACAATACCATGTGAATAAATGAAAAGCATACAGTATCCTTAGCATATTCCCCCAAACTTTTTATTTCTGATTACTTGAAAGCAAATAGTAGAAGGCAACTAAATACTTCACCATGGTGCATATTATAATATTGCTAAGACAAACTGGGCTAATTCTTGATGAAAATATTTATCAAATGCATAGTACAACTTACATGTCCATTGAATCAACAGCAAATTTCACAAATATGATGAAATAGATACTAGGATCAAATTAAGTAAGTCTGTCGAGAAGACGTGCGAAATCACTCCATAAAGCTGTTGAAGAGACTTCCATTCCCCTGTCTGCAGGAGGCAGCATGCATTCTGATCTGTTCCATCCCAAGAAGCAAAGGGCCTGCCCTGCAGGGAAGGGCCCCTGTGACAGCTCTTGCTAGTGATCAGGCCCTAAGCCTGTCTGTTCTAGATGTGAAAGTTAGGGAGCTTATTTGGCTGCAGATCAAGGCCACAACTGTCAAGCACCTTTATTGGTAATAAAAGTGATATTCCTATCTCCATCTGTCCGACTGTGTGAATTTCACTCTTTTCAATTGTTTCAGAAACAACTAAGAAGAGGTTATTATTTTTTTATGTACAGAAGCACATCTCACTTTACTGTACTTTGCTGTATTGTGCTTCACTGACATTGCAGGTTTTTTGTCTTTTTAATTTTATTGAAGTATAGTTGATTTACAATGTTGTGGAGAGGTATTCTTTTTTTTTTTTTTCGCGGTACGCAGGCCCCTCACTGTTGTGGCCTCTCCCGTTGCGGAGCACAGGCCCCGGACGCGCAGGCTCAGCGGCCATGGCTCACGGGCCCAGCCGCTCCGCGGCATGTGGGATCTTCCCGGACCGGGGCACGAACCCGTGTCGCCTGCATAGGCAGGCGGACTCTCAACCACTGCGCCACCAGGGAAGCCCGAGACGTATTCTTTAATTGGCTTCATCACACCTCATAAAACCCACCTCCAAAAGAACCTAAAATCAGTGCTCTTAGCCCTTATATAATCTACGATCAAATTTTTTTAGAACAAAAATTCATAATTCTTAGGAGAACCAGTTTATAATGCTGTAACTACTTATGAGATGAGTTTCAAAGACACACTAGTTTATCAGGTTCTTCGAAACTCAGAGACAAAAACAAAACAACAATAAAAAAAAAAACAGCAATATGCAAACAACTGGAGTATCCCAAAAGTCAGAAAACAAATAAAACTGAGTAAAAAATTAAAATTCAAATGTGATAAACATCTGTCTGTGGGCAGGGGGAAGAGGATGATTTGTGCCAGGGCAGGGACAATGACACAGGCTTTCTCCACAGAACCATTTCACACCATTCCTCAAGGGAGAGGACAGCTCTCTTTGGGGAAGATACTGGAGACCTCCCCTGCCCCTTAACTCTAAAAAAGCCTAATACGATTGACTTTTTTTTTAAGGCTCAGCTGAATAGGCCTAAAAGGATTGTTCCCTAACTGCTTGATGCCTGAAATTCTTCCAAGAAAAAGAAAAGCCTTTTAAACTGCAATTAGAAATAAATGGCTTAAAATGTGCTTTAAAATGGCTGAGAAGTATGCATTTGCTACATCTCTATTTTATCTAATTACGAATAAATGACATCAGAGCCATCCTGGCTTAGATGGAGGGAAGGAAATGAGAACACAAGGTCAATATGTGCCTTTAGTGGGAGAGAGGTCACTGCAGAGGGAGGTGCAGGTTGGGGTGGGAGAGAAGGATGTAAAACCATTATTTAAAATGATGATGTACTAGAAAACTCAATGACAAAGGGAAGTGCCCATGACACATACCAGACCAAGTTATAGAACAGGAAAGGCTACAAGGGAACTGACTTAGTTCAGGCCCTGGGACCTTGTCCTAATAAGTTTCCCCAACACAGATACCATAAAGAGTGTTGTCACGGGCTTCCCTGGTGGTGCAGTGGTTAAGAATCCACCTGCCAATGCAGGGGACATGGGTTCGAGCCCTGGTCCGGGAAGATCCCACATGCCACGGGGCAGCTACGCCCGTGCACCACAGCTACTGACCCTGCACTCTAGAGCCCGTGAGCCACAACTACCGAGCCCACGTGCCAAAACTACTGAAGCCCACAAACCTAGAGCCCATGCTCCGCAACAAGAGAAGCCACTGCAATGAGAAGCCCACGCACCACAACGAAGAGTAGCCCCCGCTCACCACAACTAGAGAAAGCCCGCGCATAGCAATGAAGACCCAACAAAGCCAAAAATAAATAAATTAAATTTTAAAAAGTGTCGTTAGATTAATTTTCCTAAAGCTGGAGTCTGATCATTGCTAGTCCACTCCAAAACCTTCAGTAGCATCCCTCATCCTTCGAAATGAGGTCAAAATGATTCAGTGAAGGATTGATGACTTGTGTGAACCAGCCACAACTTATTTTTCCCAATCTTATTTTCTTCTTTACTACATTATACCCCATTGCTTCAGCAAAATTTAGCTTTTCTCCAAATACGCACAGTCTCTTCCACTTCAGTGCTTTCCTCATCCACCTCTCTCCCCAGACTGCCCTATGCCTCAATTCTCTTCCTTCAAAGGCCATAGTTCACACTTAAGCTTCTCTGGTCCTCCAACCACAGAACAAGGCCTACTGTGTGTCAGGCACTCTGCTGAGGCTGTACCTAAATTATATTATTCAATCTTCACAACTACCCTGTGCAGTAGGTACTTTTTTTTTGCGGGGGCGGGGGGCTGTGCCGAGCCACTTGTGGGATCTTAGTTACCCGAACAGGGATTGAACCTGTGCCCTTGGCAGTGAAAGCTCGGAGTCCCAACCACTGGACCACCAGGGAACTCCCCTGAAGTAGGTACTTACCATCCCTAAATACCAGAAGAAGACACCGTCTTAGAGAAATAAAATATTGTAGTCCCCCCTTAGTCATAAGGGATACGTTCCAAAACCCACAGTGGATGCCTGAAACCACGGACAGTGCTGAACCTCACGTATACGATGTTTGTTCCTATATGCACATACCTATGATAGAGATTAATTTATAAATTAGGCACAGTAAGAGAATAGCCAAATCGATAGCATCACTACTCTTGCACTTCGGGGCATTTTTGGGTTTTTTTTTGGCTGCGTTGGGTCTTCACTGCTGTGCGTGGGCTTTCTCTAGCTGCGGCGAGCAGGTGCTACTCTTCATTGTGGTGTGCGGGCTTCTCACTGCGGTGGCTTCTCTTGTTGCAGAGCACAGGCTCTAGGCTCACAGGCTTCAGTAGTTGTGGCACGTGGGCTCAGTAGTTGTGGCTCACGGGCTCTAGAGTGCAGGGTCAGTAGCTGTGGTGCACGGGCTTAATTGCCCCGCGGCATGTGGGATCTTCCCGGACCAGGGATCGAACCCATGTCCCCTGCATTGGCAGGCGGATTCTTAACGACTGAGCCACCAGGGAAGCCCTGGGGCCATTAGTAAGTAAAATAAGGGTTTATCACACAAGCACTGTGATGCTGCAACAGTCGATCTGATAACCCAGACAGCTTCTAAGTGACTAATAGGCAGGTAGCATATACAGCGTGGATACGCTGGACAAAGAGATGGTTCACATACCAGGTAGGATGGAGCAGGATGGGGTAAGATTTCACCACACTACCCAGAACAGTGTGCTATTTAAAACTTATGAAATATTTACTTCTAGAATTTTCTATTTAATATTTTTGGACAGCAGTTGACCGTGGCTAACAAATCACAGAAAGCTTAACTGCAGATGGGGGGGACTACTGTAACTTGTCCAAGGTTCCTACAATAATAAGCACTAAACCAGGATTTGAATTCAGGCACTCTGACTCCAGAGCCCAAAGCCATAACCACTGAGCCTTTCAGTGCTACATATCCAGAAGGACTCTCTCTCCTCTCAACTTCCATTATCCTTTATCTGCTTACACTAGTTAATAACAGAGTAAAAAGTGAGGTGATATGTATGTATCCATATGCATTTTGCACATGTATGTAAATATGTATATATCTGTCTCTCTAGACTCTTAAGGCACTTGAGACCAAGGTCCATCCGTGTGAGATCTGTTTTTGTATCTGCTTGGTATCCAGAACAGTGTCCTGCTCATATAGGTGCGTACTGGATAAAATGTTCTATGAATAAATGAAGCTATGTTATCAGTCCTGTGCTCTGTTTTTCAAACAAGTAGTTTCTTACAAAAGTTTGGCTCCCAAGGTGTTTACTTATCTAGGTGTCAAGAGGGATATATTTCACATTAACTGATAGCAATGAAGCCGTTAGTCCTATACAAGTTGAGGATGAGGTGAATGAATAGTGAAGGAACTAAATATCCTTAAGAGCTATTGCCTCTATTAAAATATATTAGACACTTCTCCTAAGAATTAGAAACCCCAGGTTGGTTTGAAATTACGGTAGTGCTTTGACCATTAAGGAAGGAAACACATCATAGGCACTGGATTAGTCTGGCAATGGAAGCAAATGAACAGTTGAAGGGGGATTTGAATTTTTTTTCTCCTCTGCCTAGAAAGACTATAGAGAATTGTATGTCAAGGTAATGACCTCAATATTATATCCCAAGTCATCAACAGCTGGAGGTCCTTCGCCAGCCTCCCACTGACAGTCACAGACCCCTGTGTTGCCATCTGCTGCGGAGGCAACAGGGCTCTTCAGAGGAAAGGCATAGTCAGAATCTTATAGTTTCCAGACTCTCCACCTTGAGGGCAGCAGAGGTCACTCTACTTCTGCAGACACGCTGGCCTGTATTTCCCCTCACTGGAGATAAGGGTTCACCAGCATGATGTGTGCTCTTTCAATGCACCCTACAGGTCGTGGGGTGCTGAGCACTCTAAAATAAGCTCCTGAAGCCCCTTACCAGTCGCTAGGGACATGCTAATCCCATCACCACTTCACCAGGGGGGTATTTTATTTTATAATTAATTTTTATTGGAGTATAGTTGCTTTACAATGTTGTGTTTCTGCTATACAGCAAAGTGAATCAGTTATTCATATATCCACGTTTTTGTTTTTCTTAATTTTTATTGGAGTATAGTTGCTTTACAATGTTGTGTTGGTTTCTGCTGTACAGCAAAGTGAATCAGCTATACGTATACATATATCCCCTCTTTTCTGGATTTCCTTCCCATTTATGTCACCACAGAGCATTGAGTAGACTTCCCTGTGCTATACAGTAGGTTCTTATTAGCTATCTATTTTATATACAGTAGTGTATATATGTCAATCCCAATCCCCCAATTCATCCCACCCCCAACCTTCCCCCAGGGGGGTACTTTAAATAAATAACTTGCACCTTCTTTCTTTCAAGGTTTTCCTTACACAGCTGGTAGCCAGAGCTATTTAGGGAGTATCAACGATACTTTTAATATTGAAATACTGGTGTGTATTTAACCCAGTGGGGCTTTTAACAACGTATATTAATTTAAAATGTTTATGTTTTCAGGATTTGCTTAAAGATAAGAGACAACTAAAGCTACAGGAAAGAGGAGCCCAAATATTAAGCCGTTCCCTTTCTCATACGTCAAGTACAAATGACAAAGTCCAACAACGTCGGCAAGTCCTGGCTCCACCACTCATCTCAGCAGTTTTTAATACAAACTAACACAAGGGTAGTCTCACTTCTGATTCAGAAGATGGGGCATTAAAAAAATGTAAACAAGCCCATCCCTGTGCAGAGAAGCATGAAAAGAGAGTCATGTCCAAAGGACAGAACCCCAAAGGTTTTCTTACATTAGAGACAACACGAATGGCCTCACATAGCCACTCCTCTAAGAAGGGAAATAAGAGCAGATAGAAGAAGAAACCTGAGCGGTCTGATGTTTGAAATACCTAGAAAAAGTGATTCACAGCAGTCTTGTCAAATAAAATGGGAAGGAAGAAGAGGGGGATAAGGCGGGGGGGGGGGCAGGGGAAGATGATTGTTTTAGCTGAGATGTGGACAGTTTTTTTTTCTTTAAATACCTTAGCCAAGAGAAACAGGTTTCACATGTGTAAGAGCAAGGAAAGCTTGGTTCACAGCCAACTTGTCATGAAGCCCAGTTTCCAACACTTACTAAGAGGCCAAGTTGCAAGGATGTTTTTTCTTGCATGAGGTTCCGGGGGAGGGGATGTAGGAAAGCCCCTTAAGCTACGTGTAAGTGCAAATGAGAAAATGAACAATAACTAGACAGGGTCCTAAATGCAAATGAGAAAATGAACAATAACTAGACAGGGTCCTTGAGTAAGGCCAAAATAGTTTAAAGCTAACCAAGCTCTAGGCAAGATCCAAAGACTTCGGTGAATAAAAAAACTATTTCACCCAGTGTTGTAAGTATCCTGGGAGCTAAAGTGAGGGCTGCTGTCCTCATCGGCTCTCTGGAAAATGCTTCAATTTGTAAGGAGAGTAAAAGCATAACCAAAGCTTTCAACTCTCCAACATACATGGTTAGACAGTTAGTTATGGAGGTTCTTCAATTCTTTTCCCTTTCTCCAAGCCAGTCCACTGAACACCATAGTATAATAGTCTAAGGCCACAATTTCTGGAAGAGCAGTCATAAAATAACAGCTATTGACTACCTAAAAAAAAAACTCACAGTATCCTCAAATGAAAGTAATGTTTAGTTACATTAATTTCCATCTAATTCGTTAGTATTTTTCAAAGGCATTAGCCCTGAAAACTCTTTTGGAAGATGTCAGTCAAAGCCACAAACAAGTAGAAGAAAACAGACATTGGTATGATATCAAAGGAAGTCAAGTGCTTGAAGGAGGGGCAGCTGCTTCCAAAACACTTACACTGTTTTCCCGTGTATAAATCCAAAACCACCCTCTTCCCATCACTCTATGCATGACCCCTCTGCCACCTTTTGCATTTAAAAATCTTTTTAAGCTTCCATTTCTAATAGCCGACTTCAAAAAAAATCCGTTTAACCAATGACCTTTAGTCTACAAAAGCAGTGATGGAACAATCAGTGACATAAATTTAAAATTCCAGACTGCTAAACAAAACTTTCAAAGAGGAGCCACTCTTTCACCTCAACAATAAAAAAGATAAATAACCCAATTCAAATATGGCCAAAGGATTTGGAAAGGTATCACTCCAAAAAATATACAAATGGCTAATAAGTAACATGAAAAGTTACTCAATAACATTAGCCATGAGGAAAAAGCAAATTTAAAAAATCACTTTTTATCCACTAGGATGGCTAAAATATAACAGACAAGAACAAGCGTTAGCAAGGATGTGGAAAAACTGGCACCCTTATACATTGTTGGTAGGCTTGTAAAATGGTTCAGCCATGGTAAACAATTTGGCAGATCCTCAAAAAATTAAATATAGTTATCATACAACTCAGCAATTCACTCCAAGAGAAATGAAGGCATATGGCCACACAAAAACTTGTATATAAATGTTCAAAGCAGCATTATTCATAATAGCCAAAACATGGAAACAGTCTAAATTTTCATCAACTGAGGAATGAATGAGTAAAATGTGACATACCATACCATGGAATATTTTTTGGCAATAAAGAAGAATGAAGTACTGATAGTTGCTACAATATAGATGAACCTTGAAAACATTATGTTAAGTAAAAGAATCTAGTCACAAAAGGCCACATATTGTATGATTCCATTTATGTGAAATGTCCAAAATAGGCAAATCCATATAGACAGAAAGCAGATAAGTGGCTACCTGGGGAGACGGAAGGAAAATGAGAAATGAATTCTAATGTGTATGGGGCTTCTTTTTGGAGTGATGAAAATGTTCTGAAATTAGACTGTAGTGATGTTTGTACAATTCTGTGGCTATTTAAAAAAAAAAAAAAAAGAACCCACTATTTGACTGGTAGTTATGACCAGGTTAAAGACAAGAATAACGCACGCACACACACACACACACACACACACACATTATAGCTTATGAATCTCTGTCTATCTTGTCTGTTATACAAGCAGAACGCAAGGAATCAGGAATCGGAAGCTCTGGAGCTAGAAGGGATCTGAGAAAGTATCCGGACCATCATCTTACCCGTGGAAAAAAGCTATGGTCAAAAGGGGGAAAATGACCCTGTCTAAGGCAGACTTGTGGCTAGAACTGAAGTCAAGGCCTTACCCGTGCCAGATCCTCCAGTCTCTCTCTCTCTACCTTAAAATTTGTCAGAACTATCCCAATTGGGTCACCCAATTGGCTGCTGGAGGCCTCAGCCTCTACGGTGCACCTCAGCCCTTCTCCAGAGGCTGCAATTGTTTTAAGGCAACTCTCTTGTACCTGTAATATATATTCATTAAACTTTGAATATGGAAAAGGCTAATCATGCACTTATTAATCTTTTACTATTTTGTGCTTCTTCCTCATCAATTTTCCTGCCCTTTAGCTCTTTGGAAGTGTCCAAAACAGAAAGAGGTGTTATTTATTGAGCCATCTAAGTGTGGATTTTTCCCAGGCTTGCACATAGATTACAGGAGACGTTCCTGGATGAAGGAAAGGAGATTCAGCAAGCTGGTCCCATCCCTTGCCCCAGACTGGTTGGAAGAAAAGGTACAGTGGTTCCCTCCTCTAACCATTTTGAATCACTCAGGTTTTACAAGATTTAAATACCCCTTAAGACTTGGTGGCTCCTTGAAATAATGCCATTTGTGGAGAGTTAAAAAAGCAGAAGGGGAGGGGGCAGGGGCTCTTCTACACAAAGATAAAACTTGCTTCTGAGAGTCCTCAAAGCTAAGAAGGCATGAAGGTCCAAGACCGAAAACAGCCTTTATTTGAAATTAGCGTAAAACCCTTCCCTCGACCAAAGTAATAAGGAAGAAGGGTCATTGCTGACGGGCAGCTGACCAAGTAGGAAGGAGACTCAGCTATACCTGTGACCACAATCATGGGAATGAGGCAAAATGATACTTCTTAGGAGATACAACATTCCTAAGTTTGCAAAATTGTGGTTAATTTCCATGAGGAACCTGTATGAAGGCTGAGAAGTTGCCTTCCTCAGAGACAAGCAGAGCAGGGAAGAAAGCCAAAGGAAGCAGGGGAGACAAATGAGAGTCCCCCACACCCCCTACCCCCATCTCCGTCATCTCCATCAACCCTGAGGCAGTCAGGTGTGGTAAAAGTCTGCATCCCTATTTTACAAAAGGAGTCTGGGATGAAGAAGAATTAAGCAGCCTGCCCAGGTCACACAGAGAGCATGGGGCAGGCTGGAGTTTGAATCCTGTTCCGCTGGACTCCACAGCCTGGGTTCACAACATCACATGACCACCTGCTCACCTTCCTTCCCATAGAAGCTTCTCTCTCTCTCCATCCCTTTCCTGTGCATTACCTATCAATATTTATGTTGTTGACCCTCCAAACAAAGCCCAGGAGAGGTGTACCTACCACCCCCTTGCTAAATCCCTCCCCGCAATAAGTAACAAGAAAAGTTCAATATTATGAATATTCCAACAGACTGGGAGAGTTTAGGATCATTGGGAAACGATCCCATCAGATGTGGAAACCAACTTCCTGTGCTGGAAACTACCCATTGATTGGTGTAATAAGAAGACCAAAACCTTTCATTTAATTAAAATTAGTCTTCTGGAATCCAACGTGGGGAAGGAGAGAAGGGGAGACAGCTATCGATCAAAGATAACTGAAAAGAAAAATCTCATTCATGAATTTCAAGAAATCATACAGTAGGAACATGGAGATTAAGCCGGAACTACAGGGGAAATAACAGGATAAAAGAGACAAAGCAGTTTAGGGGTTTGAGTCTCATAACTAAAAGTAATGGTTAACCACTATGATCTTTACAAGAGAGACAGAGATTAAATATTTCAAAAAGATAAAGACAAAAAATTTAAAGCAAAGCAGCAGATGGCTAAATACTCCAATAACAATGATGAAAAACAAAACTGCCCCACCAGGTTAGATAATCTGCATGGTAAGGCAAGGCAAGTCACTTACCTATATATACATATATGTACATATGTACACTAGAGAAAAACGGGACCTTTTCCCAGGCAAAGAGCTGCTACACAAGAAAATCAAACATGGGTCAAATACATTTACTCATCTGTTATTATCAAGTCCCTACCATACAAGGTTCTTTTGCTTAGGAGAGTCAAAAGTATATGAAATCTAACCAAAGAGGCCTAAATGAGACCCCCACCACAACAAAAAAAGAGTACTGGTTAAACAGAAGTGCTGAAAAATGTACTGAAGCATAAAAAATATATATGTTGAAAGCTGGCTTGTACTAATAATATTGAGCATTTATTACGTTCCAGATATTGTTTTAAGCACTTAACTGTAAAGCATTTACAGAGATAAGAATTATTATCTTCATTTTACAGAGGAGGTTTAATAACCAGCCCCAAACCCCACGGCTACTAAATTCTAGGCACTTTACAAAATCTGTCTCACTTCTTCATGACGGGTCTTAACTTTGTTACACATATTTAAAAACCGAGGCTCAAAGAGGTTAAGTGACTTGCCCAAGGTTACACAGCTAATAAGTGGGTACAGCCAGTGTTCAGGCCAGGTCTATAGCACTCAAAAAAGCATCTGTTCCCTCTTATGTTACCATGTGACATTCCTAAAACAAATTCTTGAGTGGAACTAAAAAGAGGGAACAGAAAATGCCATCTTCAAAATGGTGGCCCCGGCTAACAGAAGGGAGACCATTAAACAAGGTGATTAGGAGCAGGGGCCCTAAAGCCAACCTGCCAGGACTCAAATCCCAGCCACAATACTAGGTGTGCAGCTCTGGGCATGCTGTGCCTCCGTTTCCTCAGCTGTAAAATAGGATAACTACTGTACCCTCTCAGAGGGGTTGTTGTGAAGATTAAATGAGCCAGTACTTGGAAACTTGGAAAATATTAGAACAGTGTCTGAC